TGGATACGCATGTCTCCCGGCAGGACTCTGGCTGGGTAAAATTGTTCTCATTCTATATAGCTAGGAGAAACTGAAACCAAGCTTCAGAGTTAATTCAGAATGTGTTGTGGGACCAATGTTGGTAAGCTTAACCTGGTGGCACCCCCAGTAAAGACTCCCAGCAGTTCCTTAGGCAGGGAGATTGCCTGCATTCTGTAGCTGGGACATTCAAGGCTCTTTCCAGAACTGCTGTGGGATGGAAGCCAGCAGGCCTGTCCTGCACAGGCATGATAATTGGCAGGCTGCAGTAGAGAGGACCTGGAGTCAAGACCTCTTTAAGATCTGTTATGGAAAAGAGGCATCAAACCTGTCCTGGTGGCTGGGGCAGGTGCTTCACCCAGCAGTTCCCAACACAGTCAAGATAGCTTCTTGACTGCAGCAAAGAGGCACTGAAGCTGAGACAGGGCCCCTTCAGGATCTGTTGTAGGATGGAGGACTGCAAGCCTGTCCCAGTGGCTCAGATAAGTGCATCTCTTGGCAGTTCTCTGTGTGAGTGGGATACTGCCAGGCTGCAGCAGGGAGGGGCTGCAGCCAGTACATGTCCCCTTCAGAATCTGCTATGTGACAGAGGCCGGCAAGCCTGTCCTGGTGGCTCAGGTGAGCATGTTTATCTCTGGGTCCTTGTGCAAACAGTACTAAGCTAGCACTACAGTTTGAGGAGGGCAGGATCCAAGTTACAGGCTAAGTTGGGTCCACTGCCAAGACAAATGTTGACAGATGAAAGAATCCTTGTATGATTCCTCCTGGACCCCTTGACAGATAGTTTTGGTTGCAGGCTCTAGGCCAAACAGAGCTGTAGCTAAGCCCTTCAAGGAATGGGGCCATTTCTGCATATGAACTTGGGAGCACAATTGGCAGGTCTCCCACCTGGCTGTTAGTATGCATTCAAAACAACATATCTAGGTCTTGAGTTCTACTGGGGTTTTGCAACCTCCTACCCGAATCCAAAGGCTCCCATGAAGACTTTTGTCTGTGATAGGTACAGAATTCTTATTTTGGGGGATATGAGCAGGTGACCTCCTATTCTGTCATCTTGGCATCACTCAGAAGTAGTCTCTTAAAAAGATTTTTTCAAAGATTGAGATATTTAGGATATAACTATTTTTCATATGTATACACAATTTAGAAAATTTAAGAAATAATTTCTTCATTTATATTTTTAAAATAGTTCAATTATATTTGTTTCCCTTGTGCTTATGCAAGAGAAGAAGGAATTAAAAGCATCTATGGGAAGGTTGGGTGTATCTGCCTCTCAGGGGATTTGTCTTGAAATTGTTTCCTTTTAGTTTGTATAATATATTTTATTGAACATACCATAAATGCCGCCTAGAGCATAGCCATTTCCTACTGAGATCAGTATGAATTTTAATACCTAGATGACTATTTTATATATGGATGCCACATATTAATGGATTTCTTTTTCATTAGAAAGTATGTTTCTAAATAATTAAAACATTAGAATAGCTGGAGAAGCTAATTTTGTACATTTTGTTTTTCCTTTCTCTGTCTGAGAGAGTTATGTGAAAACTAGTATAATTAATACTCAATAGTTTTAATGGAATTTTTAGAAACATCCCTTATTTTCATAGGCTACATATTGAGAGAACTTAATCCAGAAACCGTCAGACTTTAGGGACCCAGAAATTGTCCAAAACGTTAAAGGGAGTTCTTAGTACAAAATGTCCTTAACCTAGAGGCCACAGATGTTGTGAAATTATTTTGCCAGAATCTTTCAATTCATTTTTCTGGAACAAGAACCCGTAGTTGTTATCAGACGTGCAAAGTGATTCATGAACCCCCCCTTCTGAAAAAAATAAGACCCAGTGTTTTATGTAGTTAAAAGATGAACTAATTTGCAGCTACTTTTCAGACTTCTGTGTGGCTAGCCCAAAAGGCCATGATCGTTTTTCCTCAATATCATTGTTTAGTTTCTTACCCTTTTTTCTTTTTAAAGGAAAAAAGAATTCTATGCCAAAGCTATTATTTACATTTTACCTACAAATTAAAATTATTTCTTCATTTCATAGGTATTATATCCAAAGAAGTAAAAGTCTGTAAGTTCTCCACAGGGTTTCATTTTAGCTTGTTTTAAAATCTGCATATTAATGAAGTGCAAAACGTCATGCATGTCATAACCATTGGAGTTAATAAAACTAGGTTTTATGGAAGAGAGTAGCCTTGTGTCATGATTAAGAGCATGGTCTCTAGAGTGAAACTGCCTGGATTTAGGCCCCAGTTTTGCCACTTATAAACTCACTGCAGATTCAATCCTATTATGAATTATTGGTAACGCCTTGGGAAAGTCATTGAATCTCAGGGCTTCTTATGTTTCTCCACCCTTGAGGCAGAGACCAGGTGCTCACCAAGGTCCCTTCTGACTTTAAAATTTCATCTAATTTTGGTATGTTTTTTATATGTAAAAATAATATGACATAAAACTAACTTTTGGCATAAGTGGTAATAATTTTTCTAATATTTTTCTCACATCATTAATATATTTAGTTCATAAGAAAAATTGGAGCTTATTGAATTGAGTCAACACAGAGATTACAAAAATACCACAGAATATATGACATGTATCGCAATGTAATTTTTCTTCCATTTTAACCATAGTTGAGGGGAGAAATACTCCTACTCCCTTCTTTTTAAATTTCTTTTTCTATTTTTTATTAAACACGATGCTCAACTTTCTAATCTAAATAGACACATAATTTAAAAAAAAAAGTTTTTATAGAGATGGGGTCTTGCCATGTTGCCCAGGCTGGTCTCAAACTCCTGGGCTTAAGTGATCTGCTCGCCTCGGCCTCCCAAAGTGCTAGCCACTGCGCTAGGCCCTTTATTTTTAATTGGACACAAATTTTAAGGTTACCTAAAAGAGTATGTAATAAAAACTTAACCTGTTCAAAAACAGTTTTGAAATATCTAGTCATGTTAATCTAAAAATTGGAGTCTATGTGTATATAGCAAAATATGTTTGAAAACCTACATCTTGGGGCAGGATTATCTAAAAAGGAATAAAAGTCAAATTATAGCCTTAGGACATGGTTTTCATAAAATTTTTGTCAAAAATCACCAAAGCTGTAGATAACTTTCTAGTGGGAATATAGTGACATGAAATGCTTAAATAGTATGTTTTAGAGGGAGAATGAAAAATGTCAAGTATCATCATACTTGAGAGATAAGAAAAATCTTTACCATCTACCTATTTATCTTGGTGTATTTAATTTTATAATTTTTACTACCTGGAGATTTAAGTTAAATATTTTATTTCACCTACTGACAATTACCATTTAAATCTGCAATATTTTCACATGTAACAATGGATTCGTTGTTGATCAGATCATATGTTTAAATCATTTTTCCTTTTCACACACTTTAACTTTATGCTCAGCATCTTAAACATGTCATTGGGACATTACACTTTTATTTTTACAAAAGTTAGTTATTTTCTATATATAAGAACCAGTAAAGTAGGGAAATTTTCTTTTCTAAATGAGTATTCTTTAAATGTTTTCATTATCTATGGCCCTACTACCCTGAATGTACCCGATCTCTTCTAAATATTTTTTAAATTAAGATTTATTTTTGATCCTTCCTTATCGAAAGTTAATTCTGCCTTTTTCTTTTTATGTTTAATGTGCCTACTAGGAAATTTTAAATTACATGTGTCTGATACTATGTTTCTCTTGGGTAGCACTGACCTAAAATAGGAGTGTCAACACTTGCACTAGCCTGAAATTTAAAACTAGTCAGGACTCAGTTAAACATCCAGGAAATATTTAAATAAGATACTATTCTCAAGCCCCTTAAATAGTATTAGAATTGCTTTTGCTCTGTAAGTACTCATCTGATTATGAAGATTAAATAGTTCTAAGGGAAAAAGTTTATCTTGGTTATGTGTGGTTTACTTGTTTTGAACAAACTTTTTGGTACTCAGATATTTAATGCTACAGATATTTTGGTAGAAAGGAAACCTCAATAAAAATACTACTACCTTTATGTTTTTATGTGATTGAATAATATAATGGAATACAATATTTCCTCTGGAATAAATCAAGGTAATAGTTGAAATTCCATTCCTGTGTAACTTTGGTGAAAAGTAGTAATATTGTAAAGGCACTGCATGAAACTACCCTAATCAAACCTAGATTCCAAATCAGAACTCATTACAAAGTACACTAATATAGAGCCAGATGAATACTATTGAAAAAAAAAAAAAAAAAAAAACCTTATAAAATTAATGCATTTCTATACTTAACTGACTGAAAACAAAAATCTAGTAAAAGCACATTTTTTAATGTTAGATTACCACTTTACTCCCTCTCCTCTAAGTGATGCATACTAATTTGCTACAGACATTATTGTAGCTTTATTAACAGATGATATAGCTACTTGAAAGCAGGGGGTGGGGGGCATGCTGAGGTTTTTTTTTTAAATTTATTTGCTTTTTGATACGTTTTGGGTGATATCTCTAGTATTTTTAAATAATGAGGTGCTTTGCTGTGATAGCTTGAAAAATTGATCTCTCAGTCCTTTCTAACTGTTGGGTGATTCTGAGGCAGTGAATCAGTGCCTATTTTGGGGCGGTGGGGGCTTTGCTTTATTAACTATTGTTTTGCTCTGTTACCTGTTCACATGCTCTTACAGATGCAACTAATTCATGAAATTTCGAACTTAAAGAATTTAGTTAAGCATGCAGAAGTATATAATCAAGATCTTGAGGTGAGCATTCATGTTGGTATTTCTATTGATAAGCAATTAGAACTATAAAATATGCAACATAAAACATTATTTCAGAAATAGAGAAATTATGTTTTTAAAATATGACTTTGAATTTTACTATAAATTTAAACTTTTATGTGTGTGTGTGTGTGCGCGCGCCCGTGTGCGTGCGCGCTGTTTTAACCCCTTAAACTTCAAATCGGATTCTAATTTGTTTCTCTCTCCTTTGATTCTTTTAGAATGAACTAAGTTCTAAAGTAGAGCTGCTTAGAGAACAGGAAGACAAGATTAAGAAACTACAGGAATACATAGCATCTCAAAAGCTAGAAAATATAAAAATGGACTTGTCATACTCATTGGTAAAAATCAGGCTTATTTTATTGTATAATCACATTGTTATATATAGCATACCATCATCTTAGCAAATGCTTATACTGGGCCTACTTTGTGCTGGGTATTGTTGTAATAAATTTATATATTTTTTTAATTTAGTCTGTTAATAACCCTATGAGATAGGGACTGTTAGTATAGTTGACATTTTAGAGATAAAGTCATATTTTTAGAAAGTTGATCATATCATGCTTTGAGTAAATAAAAGGAAGTTAAGGACAGGCTCCCATTAAGAATCAGTAAATTGTAGGCCAGGCACAGTGGCTCATCCCTGTGATCCCAATACTTGGGGAGGCCAAGGTGGGAGGATCACTTGAGCCCAGGAGTTCAAGACCAGCCTAGGCAATATAGTGAGACTAGTCTCTACAAAATATATAAAAATAAGCCAGGCATGGGCAGCCAGTTCCTAAGGTGACTGAGGTGGCAGGATTACTTGAGCCTGGGAAGTTGAGGCTGCAATGAGCCAAGATCATGCCACTGCACTCCAGACTGGGCACAGAGCAAGACCCTATCTCCAAAAAAAAAAATCAGAAAATTTTTAAATTCTGAATTTTTTTCAATATTTTTATACAAATCCATGCAGTGGTATATAGTCAAGATCTTAAACATTTAAACTTGGATATTTTTCATGATTTTATAGCTCTAGATGATTTTAGTTGATATAAAATCTTGGCTTGATTTATCAAGTAAATCTTAAAATAAGATTTAGTTTATAACATAAGATTTAGTTGATAAAAGATTATTGTTATTTATAACATTGGATGCTGATGTCATTTAATCTCTTTTCACTTTCTTTTCAATATAACTGATTACTTCAAGAAAGTATGTTTGGTTCCAGTTTTTAATACCTTTTTTTTTCTTAAGGTAACAGTTTCTAGCTGGAACTTTTAAAAGATTAGTTTCTGTTCTTCTGTTTTTAATTGAGTTTTTTAGTTTTTGTTACCTTCTATTCTTTTGTTGCCTTCTATTTGTGACAGATGATTTTTTTTAAGGGTTAATACCACTTTATTCTGAAGCCGTGGATAGGAATGCATTTTTATATATTCTGGAATGTCTGTTCATAGAGTGGCAAGCAGAACTGCCCACTTTTTAAAAATTATTTTTCCTTATTCATTCATGTATTAATTTATTAAATTTTTTCCAAGGACATATCATGGATTTCGTATAAGCTAAAGTCATATTAAAATGCCACTTCTCTTTAGAAATGAGGTTATAAATTTTTTTCATGTATTTTTCATTTGCATTTTCTCATCTGTGAGTTTCTTGTTCATGTCTTTTCTCTGTTTTTCTATTAGATCATTTGTCTTTTTCCTTTTTCAATTTGTGGGTTAATATCTTTAACTGTTAACTACTTACCTATCATTTGTTAGAGAGAATAACTCAAAATAAAAATACATAGAGAACTTCAACAGCCTCGTGGAACAACAGTTATGTTAACCTTTAAACAAAACACATCTAAATAATGGTACTTTGATACATTGCTTATATAATTTGAAAACCATGGCCAGAATTTTTTTAAAATACTTTTATTAGGAAAACATGATTTCTTTTCATTTATTTGGTAATTAGCATATTGTGCACTTTTTGGTTAGCTAGTATTAACATTTATATACATCTTAAGTATTTTCCAACACTGTGAAAATTGGATTTCACTGAACCCCTTTCGTCATCTATCTAGGAAAGCATTGAAGACCCAAAACAAATGAAACAGACTCTCTTTGATGCTGAAACTGTGGCCCTTGATGCCAAGAGAGAATCAGCCTTTCTTAGAAGTGAAAATTTGGAGCTGAAGGAGAAAATGGTAAGTATATTTTGTAATATTTATAATAAAGTAGTTGTAATGATCAGTGCAGTTTTGTGCATTCACAGTGTTTCTCTCAATAGAAAGAACTTGCAAGTACATACAAGCAAATGGAAAATGATATTCAGTTATATCAAAGCCAGTTGGAGGCAAAAAAGAAAATGCAAGTTGATCTGGAGAAAGAATTACAATCTGCTTTTAATGAGATAACAAAACTCACCTCCCTTATAGATGGCAAAGTTCCGAAAGGTATTTTGTAATTTTAAACATCTTTTTTCAAATTTGACTTCCTCTAGAAATGTTACCTAAACAATTTGACAAGCACATTTCAATGATTAAAAATTCATTATACTCTGATTTTTTAATAACTCAATGTTAGGCTTTAGTGTCATTTGGTATTAATATTTATAAAGATTTCCATGGGTTTCCAATCATAAAGGATTATTTTTCAAATAAGCTTTACCTGATCTTAAAAAGGTGATTCAAGGGCTATTAAAAATTAAATTACCTGTTTGCCAACATTGCATCTTTATATAACTTACCAAAACTTTGTAGATCTGCTGTGTAATTTGGAATTAGAAAGAAAAATGACTGATCTTCAGAAAGAACTGAATAAAGAAGTTGAAGAAAATGAAGCTTTGCAGAAAGAAGTCAATTTACTTTCGGAATTGAAATCTTTACCTTCTGAAGTAGAAAGGCTGAAGAAAGAGGTAAACACATTTATAAGCACTTATCCCTTATTTTAAAATAAAAACCTTTGCAATAATAGTGCCTTAAATATTTTGATATAATTTATTTTAAACTAGCAGGCAAGAGATGCTGTAAACATTTGACTAGTCAGCAAAAAAATGAATATAATTCATCTTCTGATTTGTTCTTATGCTACTAGATTGAAAAAATATATTTTTTCAAGGTGTACTTAACAGTATACTTAGTAATATAATCCATGTAGCAGCCATTTCTGTAGTCCTCAGACGTTGCATTTATACAATATTAAGGCCCACCCTTAGTTTTGGTAATAGTCATATCATTATACTGAATAAAAGACAGTAATGAGCTTGACAGAGTTTTAGAGTTAATGCAAACCTTGCAGGCTGATAAGTGATTCTGTAAATCTATGGCCTGCTAGTCTTTCTACTTGTCTAAAAGAAAAATGGCAAAAATTTGAGTATGGCAAACATCATGCTAAAGAACTTGAAAAACATTTCATTTACTCGTCTTATAAACCCTTTAAAAGTGGGTACTGTTTTTTAGCCCCAATAACCTGTTCTCAAACTAATAGTTGAGCCACACAAATCTGCCCCCTAAACCCGTGGTTGTCGCTACTATGCTATATTGTCCCTCTTTACTTTGTCTCTCCTTTATCTCTTTTTTTCCTCCTCTCCTCTGCCCTTATCTTTCACAGTGATTAAACTGTTAATATACAAGATATGTGTTATTTAAATTATCTAATTATTTATTACTTAAGTAATATTTTTTTCCCCATGGGCCATATCTGAAAGTTAAGATACTTCTTAAATAATAATTTTAAATAATTAAACATTTCTTAAATTATTCATTGATTAAGTTTTTTGGAAATCTGGGAGGCATTCAAAGCCTTTAGGTAAAAAAAAAAAAAAAAAATGTCAAATTCTGAGAAATGCCTGCCACATGATAAAGTTAGAAAACACTTTAGAATGAATAGGTAAGAAAATAAAGACATCCTGATTATGTACCTTTACTGACTGTTCTCCATGCGGGCCTTACTAGTATACAAAGAGATTAGAAAATAAAATATCGAAGATTAAACAAGCTGAGTTAGAGAAAAGTGACAACAAGAGTACTAATATATTGCCTTTCCTCAGTCAAATTTTTGCTCAATGTAAATAATTTCTCCTTTTGCAGAGAAAGGTTTTTTTCCTAAAAATTGCTTCAGTGAATCATATGTTGCTAACATTCCTAAATTTTGTTTCTTTTTCATAGATACATGACAAATCTGAAGAGCTCCATAAAATAACATCAGAAAAAGATAAATTGTTTTCTGAAGTAGTTCATAAGGAGAGTAGAGTTCAAGGTTTACTTGAAGAAATTGGGAAAACAAAAGACGACCTAGCAACTACCCAGTTGAATTATAAAAGTGCCGAACAAGAATTCCAAAATTTCAAAACCCTTCATAAGGACTTTGAGCAAAAGTATAAGATGGTCATTGAGGAGAATGAGAGAATGAATCAGGAAATAGTTAATCTCTCTAAGAAAGCACAAAAATTTGATTCCAGTTTGGATGCTTTGAAGACCGAGGTTGGTACAAGATGCCATTTTGAGAAATGCTCCTTAGTCTTCTGGGGTTTTGGTTTCTGTATAGATGTATGCCTCAGACTCCTCTGCTTTTACTGTGTGACATTTACTTTTTGTTTTTTAAAGCTTTCTTACAAGACCCAAGAACTTCAGGAGAAAACATGTGAAGTTCAAGAAAGATTAAATGAGATGGAACAGCTGAAGGAACAATTAGAAAATAGAGATTCTAGGCTGCAAACTGTAGAAAGGGAGAAAACACTGATTACTGAGACACTGCAGCAAACCTTAGAAGAAGTAAAAACTTTAACTCAAGAAAAAGATGACCTAAAACAACTCCAAGAGAGCTTGCAAATTGAGAGGGACCAACTCAAAAGTGATATTCACGATACTGTAAACATGGTAAGGTTTTGAATGATTAAACTTTGAAAAATTGGACTCCTAGAAACATTGCAGAAGCCGTCATTTATTATTTATGATTATGTAATAGCTATAAAATAATTTTGTTTCATATTCTAATGGAAATTTTTTTTTAATTTCTCTAACAAAGAACATAGATACTCAAGAACAATTACGAAACGCTCTTGAGTCTTTGAAACAACATGAAGAAACAATTAACAAACTAAAATTGAAAATTTCTGAGCAAGTTTCCAGAAATTTGCAAATGGAAGAAAACACGGGACAAACTAAAGATGAATTTCAGCAAAAGGTAAAGGGTATTTACTTTCAAAGTTTTCATATATGTATACCCTTTAACCTCAAGTACTTAAACATGTAGTAATACTCTCAATTTTGTTATTCACCATGATTACCATTGTGAATTTTATAAGCTCATCCCTAATGCCTTTGAAATAATTTATTATAGAATGTAACTATTTATAATCAATTAGAAAGGGAAAGGGCCAAAAAAGTATTAGTCCAAATTTTGCATAGCTGATACTTATTTTGTGTCAGATTTTCTATACTGAACTTGCTTAGAGTTTACAGTTCAGTCCATTGCAGGGGAAATTGCCTTATAATGTTATACCAGGGTTTCATTTATTAATAGTATTCATTTCTGCTTTCCCAAAACACCTTTAAGATATATTGGTAACAGTAATTTTTTAATAATATATCTCATTTTTATTATAGTTCATATTATTTTCTCCAGAGTATTTACTGCTAGAATTTTAAAATATTCTTCAGTAGGAGACTGGTAAAATAATCTTTTGTAAATCTATAGCTTGGAATAGCATATAGCAGTATATGTTTTTTAAATTGTTAGTAAAATACAAATAACATAAAATTCACCACCTTAACCATCTTAAATGTATACTTCACTAGTGTAAAATTCATTCACTTTGTGATGACACCAATTTCCAGAATTCTTTTCATCTTGCAAAACCAAAACTGTACCCAGAAAACAATAGCTCACCAATTTTCCTTCCCCACAGACCTTGGCTACCACCATTTTACTTTTCTGTCTTTATGAGTTTGACTACTATGAGTACCTGATATAACTTGAATCATGCAGTATTTGTCGTTTTGTGACTGATCTCATTTAGCATAATGTCTTCATCCATACAGTGGCATGTGTTAGGATTTCCTTCCTTTATAGGGGTAAATTTCCATTATATGTATATGCCACATTTTCCTTATCTATGCATCCATCATGGATACTTGGGTTGCTTCCACCTTTTGGCTGTTGTGAATAATGCTCCTATGAATGTGGGTGAACAAATACTTCTTCAAAACCCTGCTTTCAGTTATTTTGGATAGGTATATATCCAAAAGTGGAATTGCTATATGGTAATTCTATTTTTAATTTTTTGAGAAAACGCCATAAGGTTTTCCACGACAGCTGCACCATTTTACTTCCCACCAACAGGACCTAGTGTTCTGGTTTATACGCTTCTTTGCCAACATATTATTATTATTATTATTATTATTATTATTTTTTAATAGTAGCCATCCTAATGGATGTGAGGCAGTATCTCATCATGGTTTTGAGTTACATTTTCCTAGTCATTAGTGATGTTCAACATCTTCATGTGCTTTTTGGCCATTTGTTTATCTTCCTTTCAGAAATGTCTATTTAAGTCTTTTACCCATTTTTATTTTGGATTGTTTGATTTTTGTTGTTGAGTTGTAGGAGTTCTTTATGCTTCTGAATATTACCCCTTTATCAGTTATATGCAATATTGCAAATATTTTCTCCCATTCCCTAGGTTTTACTTGTTGATTATATCCTTTGATACACAGAAGTTTTTAATTTCACTGTAGTTGAGTTTATTTTTACTCCTGTTGCCTGTGTTTTGGTGTCATATCCAAGAAACCATTGCCAAGACCCATCTCACAAATCTATTCCCCTGTGTTTTCTTCTAAGAGTTGTGTAGTTTTAGCTCTTATGTTTAGGCCTATTATCCATTTGCATTGATTTTTATATATACTGTAAGATCAGGGTACAACTTCATTCTTTTATGTGTGGTTATTGTTTCCCCAAAATCATTTTTGAAAAGACCATCCTGTCCCCATTGAGTCGTCTTGGCATCCTTGTTGAAGATACTGTGACTATATATACAAGCGTTAATTTCTGGGCTTTCTATTCTGTTTCAATGGTATGTCTGTCTTTATGCTAGTACCACATTGTTTTGATTACTATAGCTTTACAAGCTTTGAAATCAGGAAGTTTAAGACCTCCAACTTTGTTCCTCTTTTTCAAGATTATTTTGTCAATTTGGGGTCCTTCAAGATTCCATATGAATCTTAGCATAGATTTTTCTAATTCTGCAAGAGACACCATTGAATTTTGATAGGGATTACATTAAATCTATAGATTGTTTGGGTAGTATTGATGTCTTAGAAATATTCTCTTCTAATCCATGAACATGGGATGTCTTTCCATTTGTGTGTTCTTTAATTTCTTCTCAACAATATTTGTAGTTTTCAGTGTATAAGTCTTTCACCTCCTTGGCTAAGTGTATTCTTAGTATTTTATTCTTTTTTGATGCTGTTATACATACAATTGTCTTCTTTCTTCTTTGGATTGTTCATTGTTAGTGTACAGAAATGCAATTGATGTTTGTACAGTCATGCATTTTTAACAGAATATGTTATTAAATAAAAGCAAATACATATTTCAGAGTAATTTAGTGAAATCCAATTGATATAAATAAATCTCTATATGTTTATATATTACCTCTATAAAACGAGCTGCATTTTCCCTATTTACTCCAGGGCACAATACTGCCTTAGAAAAAGGACTTTTTTTTTTTTTTTTTAATTTCCATCTACTTATATTTAGTTCTTATCTCTCACTCTGTATCTTATGTTCTCAGCTTATTTATAATTTGGAATGACCATAGGCCAAAGGCATTTGACCTCAATTTGAAATTATTCCCAGCACAATGGCTCATGCCTGTGATCCTAGCACTTCAGATGCTCAGGTGGGCAGATTGCTTGATCCAGGAGTTCATGACCAGCCTGCGCAACATGGTGAAACCCCATCTCTACAAAAAATACAAAAATTAGGCATGGTGGCATGCACCTATAGTCTCAGCTACTCAGGAGGCTGAGGTAGGAGGATCACTTGAACCTGGGAAGGTTGAGGCTGCAGTGAACCCAGATCACACCACAGCAGTCTAGCCTGGGCAACAAGAGTGA